CTCTCTTTTTTCTCTGTAGTTTGACTCGAGAAGGAAAAAAAAATAAAAGTGTTGGGAGTCAAAGGGGGTAATGAAATAAGTGTTACCCCGACTGTAGCTTAGTGGGTCCCACATGTTTGGGAGGCACGGGCGGGACATGTGACTACGGGGCTGGGTGGATTAAGATGTTAAAAGGCAAAAATGCCCCTCTGTTAACCTTATATAAAAGTCACGTGACTTGCACGCCTCCGTCTTCTTTTTAAACGCTTCATGGATGGAAAAGAGAGAATTCAACTTGTGGTATTAAATAAAGGCAATTTGAACTTAGGGTATATAGTAAGGATGGAGCCCCAACTTATGATATTTTATTAATAATTAAGTATAATGTTTTATTTTCCTTTACATACACAAATACTCTACATTGTCAATCATACTATTATTACATATAATATGGATTATTTTTGTGAAAAGTGAATATTACTATGGAAAGATAGTTTCATCTTTTTTTTACTATGTTTTACCATGTCAACTTTTGCTCAAATATAATTTTCACTCATATTCGTTGATGAATTTCTTCATTGTTACAAAATAATTATTGCCTTTCTTGTGCACTTGTATAAAAAAAGGACAAAATTTATATTTTTTTAAACGGAGAGATTATTCGGAATTATGTTTAGTTTTCATTTTTAGGTTGCTTTACCACATGCATTATTAAGAGGAAATTGGAGGATTTTTTGTAAGAATTTCATTACTTCCCTTTTTTTGGTAATTTAAACTTTTTATTCGTTTAAGTTTTCATTTACAACGATAAGTACAGTACGTACTATTATATCACCAGAAGCTTCCCAAAATTATTGTCCAGTTTGAGATTCCACTTTTAATACAATTTGAACTAATGAAAACCCAAACTTGACAATAATTATGGGATGGAGGGAGTATAGTTTTTTGGGTAATAAACAGCTACAGAGAGCAAATAGAGTTATAGAGAGATCATATCATTTGACCGATTTTTTGTTAAATTAAATTATTATAAGTTGGACCGGCTTTAAAACCTTACAAGAGGGCAAGCTCAATACTCAATAGGACGAAAGGATTTTCATGCAAAACCCTGTAGAAGACGTGTAATGTGTCCGAAATCTACTACTATGCTTACAACAAAATTACACACAAGTGATTTACATAATGTATTAAGGAACCAAGCTTTAAGGCAACAATTTGCTTAACAATTTGCGCTAATTGCACACAAATGGTAGTTTCGGTTTGCCCAATATTTTTATAAAAAAAGTTTCGGCTTGCCCAAATTTTCCTAAATATTATAGTTGACATATTTTTATAAGGGTAGGTAACATAATACATTCAGAATCTCGTAAATTTGATTTCCTACAAGTTACAACCTTATTAATTTTATTTTAATTTTTGAAGAGAAATGACAAATTCTTGATTGGTTAATTGAATTCTGAAATTAGATACTATAGTTATTCACGTTTTCTCACCTCTCTTTATTATTTACTTCCTTTGTCCAAAAAATATAGTCAAACAATTTTCATTTCTGGTACCGTTTGTATTAAAAATGAAACTTTGAATTAGATAATTATTTCGAAAGGGAGAAAATACATTTCATCATTCTCATTTCTCATGCGATGGCGTAGAAAATGTGCTTTGCCGCTAAAATTTGAAATTTTTAATGGAACCCGCTGAATACTTTACAGGCTTCAATTTGGGCCTTTAAACTCAAGTAAAGTTCCGAATTTAAATGAAACAGGTCATCGGTGGACTTTTACATTTTCATATAGTGGCTTGGGACATTATTGACAGGTACAACTTTTTCATAATAGAGTAATCAATCATTTCTGAAAAACACTGTTAAAGTGAAAAGAAAAGAAAGCCCAAACATGCAAATTCGGATTCAGGGGTTTTGCTTCAGGGAGTATTATTTTTTTTTTTTTTTGGAAAAAGGATACATGTATATTAATTAATTACTACTTAAAATTGTACATTGTTGTCGCGACTCGGGAGTATGCCAGATTGTGCAATTCTAAAACACTCGGTCTAGGAACTTTAATCAGTTTACATGATTGAACATAAGAAAACATTAGACTTATTAAGGATGCTATTTATTGAACTTCCGTTGAGAGGGATTCCAGTCGCAGGTGTCCTGTTAAAGTCTCACAATCGGTGTGGACTTTGATATGTGTGATTTACCGCCTCCTGTAAGGCTAGAAGGCATGTTAGGGCCTCTGCCTGGAGAGGAGAAAGCACATTAATTGGCATCGATTTTATTTGCATTACCATCCCGTGTGGGGAGATAATTTTCCAAGCCGCCGCCCCTGCTCTGTGTTCTGGGATGAGATCAACAATTACAAGGGCTGTGGGCGGAGATGTTGAAGTGGACTCGCCTCCTACATTAGAGATGAGTAGCAATTGCATGTTACCCAGAGCATAATAAGGAAAACAGAACCCCAGAGAAAATCAGAAATACAATGTCGCACTCTAAAGGTTGCATTGGGACAAGATGAATAAGGCACAGGAAAAAAAAACATCTCGATAGTAGCACAGTTATCAACCAATTAAATCAGTCATTCATACAAATATGAAAATCTTCACTGGATAGGAATTAGGTATTTCATTACATAAAGATGCAGCCTTTATTCAAGTATTTCAGAAAAAAAAAATGAACTTACGACAGGAGCAGCACAATCATTTAGTAGATGCTATTCAGTAGCAGTAGGCATGGTGAGAAGGGAAAGATCCAATTTCCATCCAATAGTAAAGTTTTTCTGTTACAACGCCACGGGTTGGGAGGTAACCAAAGCTCGTTAACCAGTTTGGTCTTTAGATGGTAGGAGATGATCAGTTCAGCAGCAGCAATCACCATAGCATTGTCCTTTGGTAAAAATGCACGAGGCCTAAAACAATCGAATTTTTTCCAATGCTTCACAAGATTACGACCAGCTAGGAGTGTCAAGACAAGGTCATCTGCAATGCTTATGGTGTGGATCAGAACCCATTCATAAACTTTCCCTTTAGAGACAAGCATCCACACGAACATGGAAGAACCTTTTACACTGCGGTTGGAGTAATAAAAACACCCTGAGAGACCCCAATCCACCGCAACAGCATGGAAGAAGCTTCCTTGGTATAAGATCTTTATCAGGGAGGTCAATAGCCCAAGCTTCAACATCTAACACACCCATCATCCTTACATATTCTGCTGCTAGTATTCCTGCTGGGCCGGGGGATGAGGTTGTCAATGCACACCAAGTACATAACCAAAGATAGGGAATAGAGAGCCCCGTTGAAGTAAACAGACCGGCGAAGCCACTCAAAACCATAAAGACCATGAGGCTCAAGCAGGAGATCATGTCTGGACCATTGTCCAGTATCAGAACAAAAAATGTGCAATTCCATGGGATGAGTAACTGTCGCGCATTCAGCGTGGCGAATGCAGCTGATAATCTTAAAGCCATGAAATTTACATGAAAATGCAATCTGTTTCCGTCTTGAGCTACTCAGAGAACAAGACTAAAAAAGTCATCAGTCTTGAGCTATGGTACCTTGTTCTTCAAAACTCACATGTACAAACTATAAGGCAAAACAGTGTGGTATTACAATACTCCCAATATATGTATCATTCTAATAGAGAAAAGACATGTAATAATTACTGATTTGAAATCAAGAGGACACCCAGTGGCAGCACCTTAATCTCCTCAAATCTTATGCCTGCATTATGAGTTAAGCATGAAATTAAAGCGTGGAGAGTGGAGACGAACAAAAAATAAGGCAGCAGAAGTGTATGCGAATTTCTTCTTATGAGAATCTGCAGAGAGCACATATAAATAGCTGAAGTGGTCAAACAGGCATAAGTGGAAGATAAATATAAATAGCAGTAAGTTGAAGCCAAGTGAATTGGCCTTTTTGTATAGAATTGGTTTGCAGAATTGTATAGTTAGAAATGCTAAATCTAGTGGAGGAAGAAATGAACCGTGTAAAGTGTTTATATTTTTGGACTATATATAAATATTTACTTTCCACCAAAAAAAAAAAAAAATATTGACCGTAATTGATTTTCTCAAACAAGAATGCTGAAAATGATTCGAATAAGAATTGGTTGCAACATTCGACCACACATGACCAGTTATTAGAAAATATTTTTAAGATTTTTTTAAATAAAAAAAAAACTTACTAAGAGAAATTTATGATAAATCAAAATGTCTTATAATAAGGACCAAATGGAGAAGTTATATATACATAGAGGGGTCATCCGTATTCATCTTTTTACAATGTTTTGTCAGAATAAAAATTCAATTAATGTTTATTTTCATTGCTTTCACAAATACTCTACATGGTGAATCATCCTATTTTTAGTATAATTCATTATTTCTAATATGGATTATTTTTTATAGATAGTGAATATTATTGTGGAAAGATATTTTCGTTTTAAATTTGGAATGTAAATTTCGTCTGACCATATTGTTAAAAAAAATTAATATATTAATAGAAATCAACCATGAGTTGCAAATATATACATATAAATTTTTACAGTAAAGTTTAAAAAAAAAAAATATTTCTTTGAACATCATTTAATATATTTTTATTGTTTGGAAAGCAGTAAAGGAAATAGAAAACAAGGAAAATTAAAGAAAAAGTAAAAAGAGACTTTTTTGTTATTTTTATAAATTTTTGGAGTTATTTGCATAATTTTTGTAATATTTAAGTATTTTTGTGATTAAAATTAATAGAAATCTTTAAAGTTAAATGAAAATTGGGCAAATAGGACAAAATTGAAGAAAATTTAATAGATATATGTAAGACTGGAAAAAAAAAGGGTAATATTGACAATACATATAAAATTTTGGGTAGATCGACTAATTTTTTCTTTGACCAACTTTCAAATATTTTTTTTTATCCTCTTTATCCTCACAGTTACCGTATAAACTAATATAGACAATTTTATCGGTCAATTTTTAAATCCATTAATTAAACTTTTAGTACAAAATTAAAAAAGATAAAAATTATCACATATTCAGAGGACTAGAAAGACAGAAGAAAAAGTTTCTTCTTCTGTGAGAACTGGGAACGACCCCCTTTTTTGCTTTTCAGGTTTCTTCTTCCAGTCGGAGGGAATATTGTTTAACTACATTTTCAATGGTGGCGACTGATTGAAAATAAACCTCCGACGTCGATCACGGCAGCGGGTGGCCGGTGGCGACGGAACCCTTCTTTGTTACTTCTGTGTTGATATCCAGGCAATTGAGCGTGTCCCAAGTGGGATTCAGATATAAATGGAGCTGTTCAGCCTGGGTCTTCTCACCTTCAAGTTTGTTCTTTTATCCAATTTCTCATTATTGAATTTCCTTCCTTGTAATCGCATGAATAACTGAAGGAATTCGTTTTCGTTATCTGTTCCGGTTTGATTAATTGTATTTGTAACCTAGCAAATAATTTATTTATTATGGGGTTGAGTCCAATCCAGCAAGAAGAATCAGCTTCTTCTTGTTTATCAATGAAGACCAAAAATTCCACCCAGGCTGAGGGTGGGAGGGGATTTTGGTCGGAATTCCCAGAAGATTTGGTATTTGAAGTCCTGTCTATGTTGCCCAAAAAAGATTTGATTACTTCGAAATTTGTGTCCAAAGATTGGAACTTTGTGATATCCAGAGTCTGTATTCCTAGGCTATGCCCACCATGCCCTCGTGCTCCTTTTTGGGCTTTGCTCTGCTTCAAGGATCCCCTCCCTCCTCCCGATTCGGAGGAACAACCCGGGGATGATCATCCTAATAATAATCCCAGTAGTGGGGACAAATTATTGAAACTTCACTTCATACGTCTCTACAATTACATGTATGGAGAACTTTTTCCTCCAAGGTTTCTGCAATACAGAAGGGAGGACTATTTTTTGTCTCTGCTTCCAAAGGAGTTGGAGGAAGAGTGTGATCCTTCCCATATTCAAGACTGCTGCAATGGTCTCCTACTCATAACCTCCTCCACTAGCTCCCGATACTATCTGGCCAACCCTGTTACGAAACAGCGTCTTTTAATTCCAGACAACTCCCACCGCCACAGTCACACCAGCATTAAAAACATCCGTTCCTCGTTGATCTTTGATCCTTCCCTTTCCCTTGGGTTTAAGATTATTAGCTGCATTCGACCGGCTGAACACGCCACAGCTACTCTTCCAATGGAATTGGACATCTTCTGTTCCGAGGCTGGACAATGGAGCAGCCATGTTCTCCCCCTTGATCCTCATGGTCTTTATGGCTTTGAGTGGCTTCGCCGATCTGTTTACTTTGATCGAGCTCTCTATTCTCTGTCTTTGGCAATGTACTTGGTGTCCCTTGACAATCTTATCCCTGACCCCAGCAGGGTCACAAGCAGTATGAGTAAGGATTATGGTGGTTTTGATGTTGAAGCCTGGGCTATTGAGCTTCCTGATAAAGATTTGATACCAAGTGTTCTTCTTCCACACTTTAGTGGGTGCATTGGGGTCTCCTCAGGGTCTTTATATTACTCCAATCGTGATGTTGAAGGCTCTTCCATGTCAGTGTGGATGCTGGTCTCGAGAGGGAGAAATTCAGAATGGGCTCTGATCCACACCATAAGCATTGCAGATGACCTGGTCTCTAGCTTCCGACGCCTTAAACAATTGACGCATTGGAAAAAATTTGACTGCTTTAGACCTCGTGCATTTTTACCGAAGGATGATGCCATGATTATTGCAGCTCCTGGGCTTGTCATCGCCTACTACTTAAAGACCAAAGTAGTTCACGAGCTTTGGTTCCCCCCTACCCCGTGGAACTGTAACCGTAAAACTTTACAATTGAATGGAAATTGGATCTTTCCCTTCTCACCATGCTTGCTGCTACTCAATAATACTGCTGCATAGAATTTGGAAGTGTAGGTCACTGCACTGCTCCTGTTGTAAGTATTCTATGACTCAAATGTTGGAATAAAGGCTGCTTATTATGGGTTGAAGTGCTATGGTTTTTTTTTACCACACAAGCTTTCATAGCTGGTTAAAATGGTTGGTGAAGGTTGCATCTTTGCATTTTGCTTATGAATCAGTACCCTTTCACTTAATGCCTTTATTTGTTTAAGTCACAATGACATCAGGATTTTTGGCTGCCTTCATGTGCCAATATTCCTTAAGAGCACCAAACGCTTTTCTCAGTGATTCTCTTTGCTTTACTGTGCTCTGTAGTTGCTTGGAACTTAAAGGTCAAATTGTTTGTTATGTGAGAGCAAACTGAATCTAGTTATACCTAATCTACCTAGAGAGTCTGGGATTATAACTTCATGTGAAGTGGTCTTTCAGCTCTCCTTATGCTTGGAAGCTGGCCATTTTTTAGCAATTGGCTTAGCATTTTGATTTCCTGTGCAAGAAAATTTGGGCATAGCAGTTTTCAGTTTCAGTGAATTACTGGTTTCAGTTTGGATTGAACAACCAGATCCATTATTAATTTTTTTTATTTTTGCTTGAGGTCTTTTGTGTTAAGTTAGTCGTTGTTGTGTAATTTTGTGAATCTCATTGTTGTCAAAATCTGTAAGTGTGACAGGTTATTCTAATTTACTGTATTTAAAATATAAAGTACAAGTTACACGCGACCCCTTTTGCCCCGTGTCCTGAGTTTAAACTGCTTTACATTGCTCCTGCTGTTTTGGATATGTCCAACATGTCATTTAAGTGGTATATGCATTCCTCTTTCAAATGTTTTCCTCGTACTTCCCCCACGGAAGTGCTTTGCTTAGCAATCTGCAGCAATAATTCCTCTCTTGTCTTGTTTTGAGTTAACTTGCAATCTGGGAATCAGCATTTTCCTTGGTTGTTCTTCCAGTCTTTTAACTGCCTATTGAATGCCAAAGTTCTTAATCCACGTCTTTTTTTAACTCCATATTCAACGATAAATTCTTCACATTCTTTTAACTTCCTGTACAACTATAAATGCAGGTAATATTACTTCTGGAGGTTCCCGGTGGGGCGCTTGCTATAATGCAGTTAAATGTGTTGAAGGATGTGGCAGAATTCGATCGAGAATGTTTGCATAAGTTGATGGCTTTGTGCCTCAACTCTACATTCTATGACTGTTGAGTAGATTTGAATTTTCTGGATCTAGTGACAATAGGATGTTCTATGCTTAAAAATAGATTTTCTTAGATCAGTGCGGGGGTTTATGAGCCAGATTATTCTGCAGTAGTATCTATTACTTGTTTCAGTTTGGATTGATTAACTAGATCACTTTAATTACAACTTACATGATGTCGTTATGCGCAAGTTAGTTCTGTGAAAATGAAACTTCCCCTCAGATGGTGAGAGGGGATTTTTGGTCGGAGTTGCCGGAAGATTTATTTGAAGTGTTATTTAGGTTGTCAATCAGTGATTTAATTGCACTGTCCAGAGTTTGGAACTTTGTGATATTCAGAACCTGTATTACTAGGCTACGCTCACCCTAGCCTTTGTGGTTCTTTTGTGGGATTTGATCTGTTTCAAGGAGATCCACTTCCTCCTGATTTTGGAAGGCGTGGAAGATCATCTTAATATTCTCAGGCACGGGCCTATATTGACTTTTTGGACATGTCACTCTAGTTTTGGGTTTTGGAGAATCATATGTAACGAGAAAAAATGATTTGAAAAACACAATTGAAGTGAAAGATGAATTGATTTATGGTCATTTGAGCTGAATATATGTTTTGACAAGTTTAAATTTCGTGGAATTTGGGGGTTGAATGTTTAATTGACAGACCAAAGGGATATTGTTTGGAATATTATATGGAAGAACCTGCAATTTTGTATATTTAGCTTGCTGCAATTTGAGAATTCTCCAAATTGGATATAGGGTTGAATTGTAAACCCTGCAAACACACTTCTTATTGCCTAAGAAATGCTCAAACATGATCTAACAGATTTTTGAAAACATAATAAACTTGGAAATTAAATCAGTGATCAAACAATAAGATTGACTTGAATGCGAATGTTAAAGAGAATTTTGGCATCTCAGAACATTGAGGGACCTTCGAAATCTCCATAGATGCTTTTCGGTCACTAAACACAGCTTTGCCGTTCAAAATGTTTTTAAAAGAATCTATGTAAGTCATCGTAAAATCCAAAAGCAGGGGAAAAAAAAAAACAAAAAAGAAGAAAATTTTAATGTCAATTGATGTAACCTCCCAAACTTAGAAAATTACAAATCATTCCCCAGTATTCACTAATATTATCTATTAGCTCAAAATCACCAAAAAAAAAATAAAAATTTATTGCTTGGTATCAGAAAATTCAAAATAACTACTCCATTTGCCAAATCAAATAACATTGGGGGCAAAAATCTGTCAAATAGTACGTCAATGATAGTATGATACCACATACTGTAAGGACGAAAATCTGTTACCGTAAAAAGTTAAAGCAATGAAATTTACATGAAAATGCAATCTGTTTCCGTCTTGAGCCACTCAGAGAACAAGACTAAAAAAGTCATCAGTCTTGAGCTATGGTACCTTGTTCTTCAAAACTCACATGTACAACTCTAAGGCAAAACAGTGTGGTGTTACAATAGTTCCCGAAACCTATGTATTTATGTAGCATTCTAATAGAGAAAAGACATGTAAGAATTCCTGATTTGAAATCAAGAGGACACCCAGTGGCAGCACCTTAATCTCCTCAAATCTTATGCCTGCATTATGAGTTAAGCATGAAATTAAAGCGTGGAGAGTGGAGACGAACAAAAAATAAGGCAGCAGAAGTGTATGGGAATTTCTTCTTATAAGAATCTGCAGAGAGCACATATGACATATTTTAAGTAATCCATTTGCAAAAATTGAGACTGTTAAAGAATCAAAAATGAGAGATGAAAGACCCAATCCGTGTGAAGTTCAAATTCTGGACAATCTACATAAATTAAGTATGACTAGACTCTATTTCATCTCCAAGAGTTAACGAGCAATAGTAGACTGTGGAAGTGTATGTAACTCAGAGACCACAGTAATAGAGAAAGCATCTTTGCAGATTGCAAAGCAAACAACTTTTTGAATTATCCACAAAACATTTAAAGCAGGATAACACATGGAAGGGTAAAAGGGTTGCGTGTAACTTGTATTTCATAATTTAACTACCTTGTATATGAAACAAGTCATTCATTAAATGCATCGACTATCTGGAAACAGGGTATTAAAATGTAAGGCATTGAGTTCACAGATAATCGATTTCAAAGTATTAAAAGAGATGAAATATCATTCCACGTGAAGGATGAAATCATACTTCTAGACAATCTACAGTTTAATAGAGAAGGAATCACTAAACTCATTTCCTCCCCTTCATAATTTATGGATTTCTATCTACATAGACTAGCAGCAGATAGATGAATTGGCAGACCGTAACAGGTAATTCCTCATTCACACAGCTTAGATCAGCAGAACATATTGCTTAAAAAGATTTGATAACAAGAAAGCTGTCAACAACCAAAAAACCTTAAGTAACTTGCATGCAGACCTGATGCAAAAGTGATCTGGTTGGAAAAGGAAATGGCTAACAATAAAGAAGGAAACAACAAGCAAACAAAACTAACCAGAATCTGGCAGATATTAGAACTAATAGATTGTGCAGATGGACGTCCCAATGGATCGGGATTCAACATTCTCTCACGAACATCCATCACGGTTCGGGGTACTTTAGTTTGTTCCTGAAAAATGCTATTCTTGATATTGCTGAGAAAGTGCTCTCTTTCAGATTCAGTACTTCCTGGAGGTGCAGGATAGATAAGCTCCAAGATTACCACAGACAATGAATATACATCACTGGCCTTGGTGATCAGACCCTTCTCATCATCCAATTGCTTTCTAATTTCAGGTGCAAGATACTTCATGACACCCCCGATGGGACGGGGTATACCATCAGCCTCCACAACTACACAATAAAAGAAAATGACTGATTACTTAAGAACTGCAGAACAAAATAAAAACACTACTTACTATAAGAAAACATTACTTAGTAGAAGAGCAAAAAGAAAATAAAGAATAGCAAATGGAACATACCACAACCAAAATCACCAATCTTAGCTGTTCCTTTGGCATTCATGAATATGTTCTTCAGAGAGAGATCTCCATGTACTAGATCCTTGGAGTGCAGATACGCTAATCCATTGACACATCCTTGAAATATGTCCAGTATTTCAGGACCAACAAATTCCTTCCTCAGAGATAATGATTCCAAATTGCTGAGATCAAAAGGAAGAATTAGATAGACAAGATTGAGACGAACTACAAGATAATTGATACTGAAAGGAAGTCCTACATAACTGAGGTCAGAATGAAATCTTAGCAAACTAACAGCATGAGGATTACCCTTCACACTCCTCCAAGAGGAGATACAGAATTCTGGTAGGAGTATTAGCACACTTGAGATCCATTTGCTTCAAATCATCTTGAAAACTAGGAAACATAGGTAGACCATTCTCCACCCAGGCCTGTAAGGAGGAAAAAATAACTTTGAGAAAAAACAAGACAAGACAAAATATCACCACTGCAGAATCCTCAATTGCCAAAAAAGAAAAAGCCTAACCTTATAGCATGGCAGGATATTGGGATGGATTAGGAAGATGGCCCTAACCTCCCTGCAAGTATTAGACAATAATCTTATTAGACAAAAAAGGATAACAACCACAATATGTTTTAGACAGGGTAATGACCAAACAAATACACAAGTTAACTTACGGAAAGATATCCTTTTCACAACTATCACACAGCGGAATCAACTTTATAGCAAAGGTCATTCCGTCATTTTTGTGCTTGCAGCGATACACAATTCCTCCACCACCATGACCTGATTAAATGCACAAAATCTTACATGTAAGGCACATAATTGCACAAACTCTTACATGTAAAGCACTGATTATCATATATATACCTAAAATATACCACATAATTGCACAAACTCTTACACGTAAAGCATTGATTACGATGCATACATATACCTAAAATATACACATAATTGCCTTTGATTACAGAAATTCACCCCCAAATATATAGCCCGCAGTTACTAAGGACACAGCAATTTCACTAAATTAGCATTTAATTACGTCTTGATGTACCTTACCTTCAGACTCACAGATATATAACGCACGGAAGTAATTATGAATTGAAGCCATACCTAATTTCTGGATGTGGTCTTACTCTTTGGCATAAGCTTGAGAAAGGAAATTGACAGGTTGTGAATCCATCTGTTAAACCTACAAAAACAAATCACATAAAAAATTTCGACCGATTATGGTTCAGCGTTTATCAATTTCGGTAATGAGTATAATGATTACTGCGAAGAAAGAAAGAAACCGATCGGAGTGACAGAGGAACTACCCAAAGACGATGCAAATAACACACTCAAATTCAATTACATAAAATGTGAAAATTAGCGAGAGAGAGAGAGTGGAGGAGGGGGAGGAGGAGGAAGAGGTGGAAATCAGTGAGAGAGAGGAGGAGGAGGCGGAGAAAAAGCACATACCACGGCGGCTGTCAGTCCGCAGTGCTCAGAGTGACGGTGGTGCTCCGCCTTTAGTCTCGCTCCTATTTTTTGAATTTAAACTTGGATTTGTTTATTTAGGAAAGAGTAAACTTGGGTCGTCCGTATTCATCTTTTTAAACGTGTTTTGTCGGGAGCAAAATTCAGTTAATGTTTATTTTCCTTACTTACATTGTTAATCATACTATTCTAATGTAAATTATTTTTATGAAAAAGTAAATGTTACTATAAAAATGATATTTTCGTTTTAATTTTTGAATGTTAATATTGTTTGACCACACAAATCACGATAATTGTCTTTTTTTACTATATTTTACTATGTCAACTTTTGCTCTAATATAATTTTCACTCATATTTGTAGATGAACTTCATCGTTCCAAAATAATTATTACATTTTCTCGTGCACTTGTATAAAAAAACAAAGGACAAAAGTTATATTATTTTTAAACGGAGGGATTATTTGGAATTATGTTTGGTTTTCATTTTTAGGTTATTCTTTATTAAGAGGAAATTAGAGGATTCTTTTTTGTAAGATTTCATTATTTTCCTTTTTTGTTTTTGATAATTTAACCTTTTTTGGTTTAGTAATAACATTTTCCTTGCACTAATCATTATCATTGTTTAAGTTTTCATATGTATATAGGAATCAAGCTTCATGCAACAATTTGCTTAACAATGCGCTAATTGCACAAAAATGGTAGTTTCGGTTTCCCCAATATTTTCATAAGAGAACTTTCTGCTTGCCCAACTGTCAACCTCGAATTTTCCTAAACATTACAGTTGACAAATTTTTTATAAGGGTACTTACGTATTACGTCGATAATCTCATAAATTTGATTTCTCACAAGTTACAACCTTATTAATTTTATTTTAATTTTGGGGGGAGAAATGACAAATAGTTGATTGGTTAATTGAACTATGAAATCAGACACTATAGTTATTCACTTTTATTCACCTCTCTTTATTATTTAATCCCTCCGTTCCATAATTATTGTCCACTTTTACTAAAATGAAAGATTTTATTTTTGGTCAAACTTTACTATATTTTACCTTAAACAACCGGATATACCGCTATATAAGTAATTGTTTAACCACTAAGATTTTATGGATAATGTTTTTTACTAAGTACAAATATATAACTTGATCCATAAAAAGTCAAATTGGACAATAATTTTGGGACAAAATTTTTTGGGTAAAGTGGACAATAATTATGGGACGGAGGGAGTACTTCGTGCAAAAAATATAGTTAAAGAATTTTCACTTATAGTACCATTTGTATTAAAAATGAAAATTTGAATTAGATAATTATTTCAGAATGGAGGGAATACACTTCATCATTCTCATTTCTCTTGCGATCGCATAGAACATGTGCTTTGCCGCCAAAATTTGAAATTTTTAATGGAGCCCGCTAAATACTTGATGGGCTTCAATTTGGGCCTTTAAACTCAAGTAAAGTTCCGAATTTAAATGGAACAGTTCATCGTGGGTCTTTACATTTTCATATGGTGACTCGTTGGGACATTATTGACAAGTAAAACTTTTTTCATTATACAGTAATCAATCATTTCTAAAAAACACTGCTAAAGTGAAAAGAAAAGAAAGCCCAAACACGCAAATTCGATTCAGGGGTTTTGTTCATGGCTGTTGTTGAACATTGGAAATGTATATGGAAATCGACCCTTACCTTTTTTTTTTTTTTTTTTTGGAAGATGGTACCTGTATTTAGTGAAAAGTACCTATACTGTTACAATGCATTCGATTGCATACAATATCATGTAGCTCTGCTACTTCGGATCTACTAGCTTTAATTAGCTGACAAGAAGTAAAACTATCTATTAGCAAAATTAATAATTGAACAAGGGTCTGTGCCTCCACCGGAATACTTGCCGATTTCAGATCAATGATAAGGAGTTTACAGTCTGTATAGGCCCGGATATGGGTGATTCCCATAGTAGTTGCCTCCCGAAGTGCCAGAAAACATGTTATAGCCTCTATTTGGAAAGGTGAGAGTGCTTGAATGTCCACTGCCTTGAGTTGCATAATCATGCCGTGACCTGAGATGATTTTCCATGCGCCAGTAGCTTGATGATTATGAGGATTGAAAGACCCATCCATATAAACTTCAGATGTAGGATCAATGTGTTATTGGTGTGTGGAAGTTGCTTGAATGGGGTCATTTGTCCTTTGGGATGATAAGCGCTGTTGATGGAGACGCATGTGAAGAGTAAAATCCTGTTGGATTAATCTCCACATAATCAAAGGATCTACAACAGAATTCTGCCAAATTTTGTCATTTCTTTCTAACCAGATGCGCCAGAAAGACATAAATCCACTTCATCAGGAGTGGGAGAAGTTTTGATCCAATTTGAAAACCAATAAAAAAGGGACGTACTAGTGTTATTCAGTGCACTAGCAAATTGTGGATACGAAGCCCCAAATTGCTTGTGACGCTGGACAAGATATGAATAGATGTAGAGAATCCTCTTCTGCTTGGCAGCAACGCGGACATACTACATCAAGTGGGATTCCTTTTTTTGTAGACCTAGCTTTGTTGCTAATGAATTGGTTAAAGCTCGCCACAGAAGTACCTTTTGTTTTGGTTGTACTCTAGAGTTCCAAAATCACGTTCAAGTAATTTTGTTTGCATTGTGGGAGAATTGCACCTGATTTGGGTTAATGAAGTCTGATGATTGACTATATAATTTTCATGGTTTGTGCGTCGCCACTGTAGGCGATCAGGTTGAGCTGCTCTTGATGGATCAATAAAAATAGCCAGAATGGAAGGGACCACAGCTGGAGGGAAAACAGCCCGTACAAATGGTTCTTTCCAGTGTCCATTTGGCTGGATAAGATCACTTACCCAAAAGGCAAAATGCGTGGCCATGACTGAATCAAGAGCAACGGAGTTACTGTGATCTGGGATCCAATACTCTGCAATCCTGATGGAGCTGCCTGAAATGATCTTCCACTTGATGTTTGGGAGAAGGAGCTGAGCTCCCCACAGGATTCCTTAATATCCCCAAGTGCAACAATTGGGAGGTTGATGCTGAGGGAATGACTGATCATGGCAATACTTAGCTCTGTAAAGCCTGGAGAGAAGAGATTGAGGCTCCGACATTATTTTCCAAGCATGTTTTGTTAACAGTGCTTGGTTGAATTCCCGTGTAGATTTGAGGCCTAGTCCACCATAAAATTATGATTTGCATATTTTTTTCCATGATCTCCAGTGTATGGCTTTGTCCTGGGAATACCCTTGCCAAATGAAATGGCCCACAATTCGATCTGCCTCATTGATAGTGTGTTTAGGAGCTTAAACACACCCATTGGATATACAAGCATATATGACAGAGTAGATTTAGCCAGTTGTATTCTTCCTGCTAGAGTAATTAATTTAGTTTTCCAGCCAGTCAACTTTTTTTCAATCTAGACGTGAATTCCTGGACCCTGGAAATCTAGATTCATACCTAAGTAGTTGCTCTGGAAGTCCCCCTCTGGGATCTGTAAAGCCGAATAAATGAAAGCCTTATCAGCAGCTAGTGTGTTTCCACTAAGTAGAATAGAGGACTTCGTATAATTCACCCGTTGGCCAGAATGTGTTGCATAGAGTTCAATAAGCTCTTTTAGAGCTGAAATGGCAGACTACTTGCAGTCAATAAAAAATAAGTTATCATCTGCATACATGAGATGGCTTATTCTTGGAGCTATTCTACTGATCTTTATTCCCAGCTCTAGCAGTGTGTGAATTTTTTCTCTAATAGCTAAGGAGAGTACTTGTTGACATAAGATGAAGAGATATGGAGAAAGTGGACAACCCTATCTAAGGCCCTTATTTGGCTGAAAATAAGGAAGGCCCTCCCCATTAAACTGTACTGAATAGGTGACATTCTTGACACAAAACAATATGAGTCTTGTTAGAGTAGGCGGAATCTTAACCTTCTCAAGGACTGCTTCCAAAAAAGGCCATGCAACCCGGTCATAAGTCTAGCTCATGTCTAACTTAATGGCTGCTAATCCAATGGATCCTGACTTTTTCCTAATGTGCTCAATCACTTCGTGAGCAATGAGTATATTTTCACTAATATTACGACCTGACACAAATCCATTTTGGTGCTCATCAATGAGGTCATTCATTGCTCATTTGAGTCTATTAGCTATCATTTTGGTGGTGATCTTGTACTTGACGTTACACAGACTAATCGGCCTAAAATCACTTGGAGTAGTTGGACATAAATTTTTTGGTATCAGAGCAAGCTGAGTTTGATTCCAATCTGGAGGGAACTCTTGAGTTAGAAATGCGTCCAGAATAGCTTTGGTGACATCTTGACCTACGATGGATAAGGAATAAATTGTTGCCTCTAATCCAAATTATTAAATAGTTATGATCCATTATTTAATTTAACTGGTCTTATTTTTTAGATTTTTGAAAGATTGATTGAATGGCAAATCATCAAATATCTAAAATTTATAAAGAAAAGAATGTTGAAATTCGATGAAATAGAATGTGAAAATTAGCAAGAGAGATGAGGAGGTGGAGAATAGCCCATACCACTGCGGATCATCAAGCTCTTAGTTCTCAGAGTAGTGGTGGTGCTCTGCCTTCCTTGTCACTCCAAATTTTTTAATTTAAACTTATAATTTTTTATTTTTATTTTTTGGAGAATAGTAAAGGGAAAACTCAAAAGGTATATTTTTTTTGTTCGGAAAGGGAGTCAAGAAAAAATAATTTTATAGCTGATGAGAAAATATTCATTCATTAAATGAATCTGTTTCAAATATATGTGGAAAAAGTTATTTATGACGATTGATGTGTTTCTGTTTGTTTTTTTTACCTCATATGTACGGGAATAAATTTTTAAATAAATTAAAATAGAAAAAAAAACTTTGCACAATAATTTTTATTAATTGAATTTGCATTACCATATGAACATTTCAACTTAAATTGTTTATTGGCGAAAAAAAGTCACTTGTAAAGAAATGTTGATGAAAAAAAAAAAAATTTATTTTTATTTTTGCTAAAAAATTTGTAGAAAGAAAAGTAAATTGATGAACCTGTCATTTTGATTTTTTTTTTCTT